GCAGAGATTCTGCTTCAGCTACGTCTTTAGGTAATTTATTCCACAGGTTTACGATTCTGACAAAGAAGGAGTACTTGTAGCAATTTAATCTGGCTGATTTGACTTTCAATTTGTAACAATGATTAGAGCGGAGAGGACGAAAAGCACTAGCATAAATAAACAAAGATGGATTTAGACCATTTAAACTATGAACTGTCTTAAAACATTCCACTAGTGATAGATACTCTCTTCGCTTCTCATAAATGAAAATGACAGTAATAATGTTTTAACCTGGAGACGATTTACAGTTCCTCATGTGCAATTTCTTTAGGTGCATTACTTGCAAGGATTACAGTTCCTCATGTGCAATTTCTTTAGGTGCATTACTTGCAAGGATTATGTTTACTCGAAAATGTTTGGTACGTTGATAAATATGGTAGGTCTTTATGTTTTGAAATTAGAATGATGTGTTCATTTTATTTGTCAGGGGATCACCATGCAAAGTGTTTTTTCATTTTGTTGGGGCCACACCTGGTTCTACTGATCTGGCGTTCTTCTTGCAGAGGTTGTCCAGGGAGATTAATGTTTCCAAGGTGACAAACATGTTCTTTGCATTGCTTCCTTTTACGTGAAATTCATTTCTGTAGTGTAGTCATCTGCTTCTTTGCTGGGCCAGTCCCGAGTGGGAATCATGATGAGAAACCAAGAAAGTTCGACTGGAATATTTCGATTTCAGTGAAGTTTTCTTTAGTTTGAAACAAACATAAGAATTTCGTTATCTGCCCGCTTACAATCTTCCTAAAAAAACACGATTTCCTCTCTTTTCGAAGTCGTTTTCAGCAACATATCTAATCTCTGTGATGTCCGCGATTATATTGCTTCACTCTTAGGATTAAATCGAGAAAAGCCTTCCTGCAGACTTGGTAATCAAACTTCCGCTCAAGAGACTTCTAAGAATAACGTGGGTGGAATTCACATATTTTCCCGACCAGAAGCCTCCCCCGCTGCTTTGTCCTCTCATTTTCTTCAAACGGAGATTTGAATACGGCCAGCAAAGTTTCTTTGAAGACAGATCTACTTCTGGGGATAACCGCAATAGAGTAGTGTGTTTTCTTGAGGGGGGTGGGGATGGGAATAAGCGGTATATTAAAGTATCTCCATTTCACAAAGACCAGTACTCTGTCGTTAGATTCTCCCGTCAAATTTCGTCTGTGTTTTTATCTTTTAGCGAGACGTAGTCAGTGACTTGGACTCTTTAGTTCAACTAACCAACAGTCTTTTGTCAAACAAGAACACAAAGCCTTGTGTTGTGTTTGTGGATGCTATTAACCAGGTACGCTTCTTCACTATCTTTGCATTTATTTCTTACCAGCTTTAAGACTTGCTTTTAAAAACAAGGAAACTTTCAAGTAACAGAGCACTTTTGGATTGATTGTCGTAAAACAAAAAACCAAAACAATCACAACTGACAATCAAAGCGAGAAAAATATTACGTGGAGCTAATGAGAACTCGAAGTAAAAACAAGTAAACTGTCTGAAGCGCGTGGTTTTAGACTTACCAACGGTAGCTTTGCTTAACAAGAGTCTCCTTATTTTTTAAATCCTTTTACCCCAAAGATCTCGTTAGTAATTCTCCTTACTGTCTGCCATACAATTCTTACCTTGCCAGTTCGGAGAAATTGACATTGGATCAATTAAGAATCCTCTGATAGACATTTTCCTTTATTCTCGTCACCTGTCTGCTTGATATTGTATTGATATTGTAAGGAGAAACTATGTCTTGGTCATTCATGAGAGCTAAAGGGGCACTTTACTGATCCACAGCACAGCACAGCGAAGCAAAGGAAAGGGTTTGTTTCTTTCAAAAAGCATTTGACAAAAAGGTGACACTTTTTTCCGTTTAGATGGATGATGATAAAATCCAGTATTTGACCAGGTGGCTGCCAGAAAACCTTTCACCGAATGTAAAGGTGGTGCTGTCCATGATCAATGACACAGAATGTCACAGACTCCTGAGATCCTACAAGTCAGGACCAAGAGAGATCACCTGCGGTCAGCTGGATTACCAGTCTAGAAAGGTGTGGACGGAACTGCTGAAATCTTTTGCAATTTCTAGAAACTTTGTTCTTGATTCTCACGAATCTCTAGGATGGGGACTCGAGTCGAAATCAAAACTCCATTCTCGAAACTCGATTCTCTAAAGTAGATCCTGGTGTCTCGAAAACTCGATTCGCGATCCTCGATTCTCAATACTCGATGCTCGATGCTCGATCCTCGATCCTCGATACTCGATGCTCGATGCTCGATATTCGATACTCGATCCTCGATCCTAATAGGCCAGAATAATGGGAAAAAGGCAATTGATTCACCCTAAAAAGTTGATAAAAATTTCTCATTTTCGCGTTTCCGAACTTGAGTTTATGGAGCTGGCTAAGGCTTATTTTTTTTTTATTCCTTCAGCTTATCGTTGAGAACATTCTAAGACAGTACAACAAGCGGTTGGATGAAAGACAGATGTCCATGTTGTTGGAGAAGCAAGGCTCAGCTAATCCTTTGTGGTTAACACTGGCTTGTGAGGAACTCAGGGTGTATGGAGTTTTCGACTTAATGGATGAGAAGATCGCAAGTTTGTCTGATGATCTGATCAGGTGAAAAATTCTTCAGTTTATACATTGCACTTTTTTGGTGTAATTTTCAAATCGAAAACAATCCAGGATTGCTTTGGTTTTCCCACAATCTGCTATGTGGTTGGTCCAAAAAACTCACGCCAACCTTCTAACCAAACAAAAGAAAAAAAGGCTAAAATTGCGTTACTTTTTTACGTGCGTTTTTCACGCGCCTTACAGAGAGTTCATGCGCATTTAATTGAGGTGTCGTTAGCTCTCTTCAACATTTACGTCTGTTCTCTGCAGCGGTTGTGATTTTAGTTACCTTCCAGCAAGACAACTTTGTGCGTGCATGAACATAAAGACCGTAGCAATATTATGCTACGGTTCGTCCACGATTGTTCACGTGCCACGGTTTCAGCTGGCGCGACAAAGTGCAGCAGATGTTCAACCTTCCTTTGTAATTGCATCAAATATGTCTTTTGTACTGCTTTTAGCTTGGAAGAACAAGTTTTGACTCGGTTCGAAGAAGAAAACGGTGGTCAAGTTGTAGTAGCCACAGTTTGTTTATTGGAGACGTCACGACACGGTCTGCTGGAAACAGAACTGCTTCAGATGCTGGCGGAAGAATCCACACTTACTCCACCCCCCTACGTCGAGGGTGAATCCGATCAGATCACAACGACAGAAGCAACCACGACTGACGGAGGTGGGCTGAAGTAGTTTGTCTCCTCCCCAGACTCCTCTTAAAAGATAATTCAAGATGCAGGTCGAATATGTAATTACTGAATTACTAAACGCAGAAAACGGAGGGATTTATGTCAATAAAATCATTATATCCCAAGTCAAAATTTGCTTTCTTCATTCACGTCCATATCTCAAACAAAGTAATACAGAAGTTAAGCCAAGAATCGAATTGAAACAAAGTACTTTCAGGCTACATCGTAGTTGTGAACTAAAGAGTTTGAGCACTCCGCTTCGACCGGAAAAAGAAAATTGACAATGATTCATTCTTAACACTAGACTATTTTATTGATTGAAGTTATTTATAAATACAGAGGTGAGAAAAAAAGGGGGAAAGTATTTCATTTTGTTATCATATACTTACTAACTGCCCCGTTCAATTACGAAAAATGTAAACATTTTTCTACCTTTGACTTTCCTTCGATTTTTTGTTGGGATTTTACATCATTTTCAGACAAAGTAAAACAAGTTATTTAGATATCTGTATTGTAAGAATTGCGCACGCACATATTTGTAAACGAGGTTAATGTTTATGTAGTGTTGTTGTCGTTATTCACATTATGAGCTTATGAATTCAAGTAAGGCTTTTAAGCCTTACTTGGTATTAAAATACCTCTATCACAAGGTGTATGTGAGTGATAGCTTAATGAGGAGCTAATGATCGAAACGTCAACTATGGAAACTCTTTGCCGTGGCCAAGTTACATTATCTACTCAGCTGATGAAACCAAATTATCTTGTAACACCCCCCACCCCTTGTCCCCAGCGACGCAGCATTATAGTTTCCTTTATTCATTTAAGTTTTTTTTTTTTTCAACTTTTAGCTCCAGATCATAACCTAACAGTTGCAGACAAATTGGCTAAGCAGGTGGAAGAAACATACATACAAAAAGACGAGGACAAAGAAGGGAAGGAAGATGAAGCTAAGAAAGCCACCACTGGCCGAAAACAAAAGAACGAAAAGAAATTCCTGCCGGCTGTCAAATGGGCGTTGGTGTACCGAGCCTTGAAACCACTACTTCGACCGTGTGGGGACTTGGGCGAGGGAAGATTGGATTTCTATCACAGATCTATTAGTAAAGCTGTTCGGAGAAAGTGAGTGTAGGGTGTATTTCCAACGATGTTTCTCCCCTCCTCCCTTACCGCTCGTAACACTGTATATGCCTGTTGCAATAATGAAGGAGTTTTTGTCCTTACGTAACGGGACAGTAGGTTCCTCCGGAACCCCACCAATATGAGCCTCAATCTCCCTGACTGAGCCTTGGAGTGAACCCTTTTTCCGATTAGATCTATTAATAGAAAGGTTCAAGGGAAGTTTCCAGGTCTAAGACCCAATCAAAATTGTTTTACGTCAAACATCCGTTCACTTGCTTTGCACTTGCACGAGACTGCACAATTTGAAAATACAGTGTTTTGATGAATACCAGTAAACTCTGAATGCCTCCCAGTAAATATGTTATACCAACCACTGATGAAAAAAAAAAAGTTCAAATGATGGCACATGGCTTGTGTTGACTGTACAACAAAGACAGCCATTTTAATTTTTTTTTTCTCTTTTTCACTTCAAGTATGACTGTGTCAAACTCTTTCCATCCAAAGGTATTTCTCAGGATCAGAGGGGTACACAAAACATCAGTACACTTTCTGGCATGGAAAACACGCAGAATTCTTCGAAGGAAGCGAAGATTTTGATCGCAAATCAGAGGTAAGCTTCTCTTGAAAGAGCGTCCTTTCAGATGCTGCTTAAATAATCTCCTTTATTCGGAAGGCTAGTCACAGAATTCTTGACGCCACGCGTAGGAATTCTCACGCTTTCTTTTGGTGATTCTTGTTTGTCTGACCAAAACTAAAAATTGAAGGGATAGCAGATTGATACGGAGCTGATTGCAGGGTCCCCATGAACCAATTAGTTCAGAAGAAAATTCATGTTTGAAATAAAGCTATTTGGCTTTCGAAAGTTTGCCTCTGAATGGTTAAATCTAGTCCATGATCAGGATGGCCTTTTTTCAGTATTCGCTCTAATCTCTCAGTCGACTTTGCTCTACCACATTCTTGCATTTGTATGCATATTCTCCATACTATTTCCTGAACCACAATCAAGAGATGCTTTTAAAGCTGATTATTTCCTTTATTCTCCTAGCCTTAATGTTGTGTAACTCTGCTGTTGTGTTGAACCATCTTTTTTATATCCTTGTTAGGAACTTCCGTATCACCTTGAACAGCTGTTGGATAACAACCGGTTAACAAGGTGCTTACTAGAATGGGAGGTGTTTGAACGGCTTTTTAACGAAGACTTCAGTATAGACCTGCTCAGATCGTGGCAAAAGGTAACTGATACAAACATGTGTTCAATATTCTTGTATACAAGCCCAGAGTATACCCTCTTGCTCTTAAAAGGTGGATGAAAATCAAACATAAGTAGAACAGTATAGAACTGCACAGGAAGAGAAATTTCAACTCCATGAGTGACACAACTGATGGTGCCTTCCAAATGTTTTATCTATAAGCCTTATACTGTACCTGAATGACTTTGGGAAGGAATGCCTTCTTTCCAGCTCAGTCTAAGAATTTTTTCGCCAATGACAAATTCAAATTTCTGACGCCATTTTGAAGAAATAGTTCCTGAGTATGGCGAGCAAGTATACTTTTGATAAAGTGTATGCGTTGTGTTACAGGCTGGTGGATATGCTACAGCTTCCGCTCTATATAAGGAAGCGTTAGCGGTGTTGCGTCAGTCAAATGCCCCAAAGGAAGAACTCGCCAGGAGAACTGAAATGGTTGTCATGTTCGTGTAAGTATACACATCCCTAATGTTCCTTTGTTAACCACATGGCTCATGTAGGAAACAAAACCCTGTTAGTGATCACTTATATGAAATTTACAGATAAGTCCTTTCACGCGCCCGGCAAAAATTAGAGTGCAATTGGTATTTTTTTTTTCAATCTAGGATTCAAGCAGGACAATATGAAGACGCACACTTGCTTTTGAATGATTTGCTGAATCTAGAAGAGGAAAGTCTCGGCGCGCGAACTGACAAAATGGCTGACATCTATCAACTTATGTCCAAGACCAAGAGCGAGGTATCATATGCGTGACTTTTTTTTTTATGAACTGATGATTGCGTGACATTTATTGCCAATGCGTGACGTTTGTAACATGCAATACGTTTGTGCCATATATGTAGGTGGTATTGCACTGCATTGCGTAAATTGGGACTTTAAGCAGTCAGGACAGCAACACCAAGGAAGACGTCGATTAAAAAACGAAGTTCTACTTTAATTAGAAATAGTGCGAATAAAGAGTTTTCTTAGAATTTCGAAAATGGCTGCATGTGTTTACCGTCTCTAACGGCGCCACACCTCAACTTCAGCATAACGTATATTAGCCGCGTTGAATTCCAAATGGAAATTACAATAATTTGCCGTCGCGGTTTCCGCTCTCAGACGAGGCAAATTTTGGTGATTTCACGTTGTTGTCTTGCGAAGGACGGCTAAGAAATATATAAAGTTTTAAAACCCACGTGCTGGCTATTGTTCTACCCATTAGATCTCTTGTTTTGCCACGTCCTCGTTGCCGTCGCCGTCGCCGTCGTGGTTTGCTTAAGGTCCCTAATATTGCGACTTTCCTTTTCAGGTTGTAAAGAACTTCAATTTTGTGACAATGGATCAACTGGAGCAAGACAAGGAAATTGTTGAATTCTGTAAAAAGTCTCTGAGTTATCGCAAACAGCTCAGTGGCGAGGAACACGAGGTAAACCAGCAACAATTACTCTCTCCTAATCTTCGAATCAATGGAGGCACGGTGGCTTCATGGTTAGTACGCTCGAATTCGGATCGGGTGGTCCGGGTTCGAGCCCTGGCCGGGGACATTGTGTTGTTTAAATTGGTACCGGCGAATTTAATACTGGGGGGTAACCTACTAACATCCCATCCAAGGGGGAGTAGAAATACCCCTTGACGCTTCATGCTGTGAAAACTTGGTTCGCATGCAGACTTAAGTCCTCGATTGTATCCAAAAAAAAWMWAA